TTTTTTTTTTTGTTTCCACAGATGAAGAGAAGTCTGAAAGGAAAGCGATTCCGTGATGTGGATGAAGTCAAAGAAAACACGCTAAAGGCTTTGAACAGTATCCAGCCTCAAGAATTCCAGCACTGTTTTGAGCAGTGGCAAAAGCGTTGGGACAAGTGCATTAATGCACATGGACAATACTTTGAAGGGGACTAATATACAGTTCAATAAAAATGCAAAAATAAAAAATAACAAAAATAAATTCCGGTAATTTTTGGGTCCCCCCTCGTATGTTGGAAATGTTTGCCTACAAGAACACTCACTTTTGAAACAGGAAAGTTTGCTCCTGAATATGAGTCATGTAAAGAGTGTAGAAATGCAAGTGGAAACCACAGAACCAGACTTACAGTGACTGGCAAAGCCGAAGTCACCATCATTCAGTGGCACCTAGGCATACAGTATCCTTGTCCCATACAGCCAGAAACAAACATGGATGTGTGGAATTTTTTGTAATTGGTTCCAGAAGAAGCTTGTTTCTGAAGCTGTGTCTTTCCTGAAAGAGAAAATTTACCATAGAGAGCAATGTTGCTGTTGTACAGTGCCCTTTCTCATCCTACTGCAAACATGCTTCACTGCTGTAAAGTTTCGCCTCCCAGTGATAGAGACATGCATGCTATAATCATGAATACCAGTGTATTTGAAGCAATGGTACAACACTACTGGGTTGGTGTTGTTGATGAAGAAGAGAAAAATGACAGTTTTGGATACTACACATGGCAGGTCTCAGGCTTAGCTGCGGTTAAACCAGTAGCACCTGTTTGACCCTTGAGGCAGCTTTTTCCAGATCTGGAAGATGATTGCTTTGGTTTCTGTAATGAAGAAGGAGCTATATCTACAGTTGGCTGGCTGTTCAACAAAAATGGTCAAACCTTAATACTGGTTGCAGAGTGGCATATGTGACCCATGCATACATCGTGGGTACCACCATGAAACAAAGTCAAGAGGGTGAAGAAGAGGGAAGTCACTATGTGGCACTTCAAGCTACAGTACATGTGTCACAAGCGTTTTGTCCCTAATGTCAGTATAATGCAAGAAAATTTCAAACTCCCATGAGAAATGTAAACAATTCCTTACCCCCAAGAAAGCAGTTATGTACTGTTTGTTAAAATAAGCATGTTGAAAGCTGTTGTAGGTTTAAGTAATTTGTGGTCTGTTGAGAGAGCAAACCATAAAATACTCATATGAGTGTCCTGGATTATTCGTGTAATTCAATTACTGATACATGTCTTCCTCTTTATTAGCATGAATAATTGGGAGTATATGGCATTGCTTTCCAAGAGCTGTCATTAATTCTGTGAGTGAAACATTGTTATAAAAATTATACTATTGGTAACATATTATAGTTTGTTTTTAAATTTAAATGACTTTCCAGTTTACTTTCTCCCTTTGTTAGGAATAGACTAATCTTTCCATAATTAAATATGTGAACTCGTAGGTTCAAGACTGAAGAAGAAGCTCTGACTATTGCCAACAGCACAAGACAGGGTTTAGCAGGCTATTTCTTCAGTAATGATGTCCCACAGCTTTGGAGAGTAGCCAAGGGATTGGCTGTAGGCATGGTTGGAATTAATGAAGGCATCATATCAACTGCAGAAGCTGCGTTTGGTGGCATTAAAGAGTCTGGTATTGGACGTGAAGGATCTCATCATGGCATTGATGAATTCACATATACAAAATATATGTGTTTTGGGAATCTGTAAATAGCAAATATGTTACTTTACTTGTATTTCCTAACCAGTTCGGTAACATAAACAAGTATACATGTATTACAGCATGTTTTCTTTAGAAGTGATGGTATGTGACATGTAAATAGGAACACATTGTTGTTTGTGGTCATTATACTATTGTGTTGTAGCTTTATGTTTAAAATGAAACACTTTAAGTTGGAAATTATTGGTATTTGCTTGCCATAAGAGGCACTGCTATGTTGTGAGACCACATATGACCTATTGTTAAGACTGCTATTTAGTTGGTTCAGTTTTATTTGAAGTGAAGGCTTTGCCATAAGAGAATGGAACTTACAAAACCTGCAAAAGAAGATAGATCAGTAACAGTTTTCTTATCAGTACATAAACATCATATTCAGCAGAGTGTTGCGTATAATACAGAGTTAAAAAGATGAAAGTATACTTAATTCATAATACACATAAAACTCGTGAAAAATAAATTTGAATTAGAATGTTCCACAAAAGAGAATACATTGTCACTACCAAGTCTGCTCCTCTTCTGTTTCTTTTATTTGTTACTGATCTCCTAAACCTCCTGCTTATTGCTATGTGGTCTGTTTGGTTTTTGGTGCTATGATCTATGGATATCCATGTGACTTTGTTGCATTTTTTATGTATAAACAGTGACCCTTCTATTAACAAATCATAACTAGCACACAGATTAACAAACAACTTTCCATTTTCATTCATCTCTCCAATTCCATGTTGTCCCATAACATGTTCTGGTCCTTCATTGTTGGATCCTATTTTGGCATTCATATCCCCTATCATCATAATTATGTCGTTTTTCCCTACTTTCCTGATTGTATCACTCCACTGTTGGTAATATTCTTCTTTCTTGGTTTTTCTGTTTGCCTCTGTTGGTGCATAGCATTGAATTAATGTCACATTAAACATGCTGTCAGTATTCTTTCTGAAATGAGTTCCATGCTGTATTATCAGTAATCCTACTCCATTTCTGTGTTCTACATTTTCTCCTGTTGCACCAGAAAAGTAAATCCATTTTGTACTGTCATTTCCCCGATGTATAACCATCTCACTTCACTGATTCCAAGAATGTCCAGCTGATAATGTTCCATTACTTTGATCGCTTGTCTTAGTTTCCCATCATCCCTCTGGATTCTGACGTTCCAGAAGCCAATTTTGTTTTTATTTTTCATGCCAAATGTTGTCAACATTTTTCCCATCTGGTTTTGTTTCACCTCATTTTCTTTAATAATTTATTTAAGAGTATGCAGGATATTAGCCCACATATCCGATCTTGGTGATCATACACGTATGAGTCTGACTCGCGAGTCCGACTCGGCTCGGGATCCAATGAGCCAGACTCATCTGTGTGTGGGTCGCCATGCTCATGCATTTGTGGTGAAATTAATCTGAGCCTCAAGTCAAGCTCGCCGAGCCGGACTCGTACATGTATGGGCCACCTTAGCCACCAATGACAATACTTGCTCTTTAATGTTTACTGTTTTATGTAAGTAATTCTGTGAAATAAAAGACTTACAATGCTAATTCCTTTACAATTACAGCTTCTCTTATATAAGAATTAACATCTGACATTTAAAAATTTTGCAAGTAATTTCTTGCTCAAAATAGTCGACAGGAATCCTGCTGCAGGAAAGCATCTTCCTGTTGATTGAAACAAACTGCAGTGGAGACATTGTGTTTTAGGTAAACTTCCTCCTTCACAGATACCCAAATGCAAAAGTGTGTGATGTTCAATATGGTGACCATGTTAATCACAGGGTTAAAGGTATGCTTGGTTTGAAATTTTCTGATGATGGTGTGATTTCCTTGACTGATATTTTGGATATTGCTTATCATCCAAGAGTTTCAAATTACAGTGTTTCAGAAACTATTTACTTCTTCAGATGACAGGATAAAGTAAGCTGTTGTACTATGTTGGGTTCTGACCTCAAGCATTTAGTCAAAAAAGAAAAATGCTTGTTTGACAATTTGAACAGCTTGTTGAAACAGTAGTCTTTTTACTTCACTATGAAAAAACATTAAACTGCACTGTACATTCTTTATGTAGATCTGCAATTAAGGTGTTCTTGAAAGGAGAAAATCAAGGAAAATTCTAAGTTCAGAAAAGTTATGGAATCGTGTATGAAAATTAATGTCAAATGTTAAACAAAACTGATCTGGTCCATTTTTCTGTGTATTTCAAATTTAGGCCAACCTACTGGCCTCAGATATCAGCTATTCATTTTAGTAACATTGTATCAGAGTTCTTTCTGTGTAAGATGATTGGTTGATTAGCAAATTAAGAATTATAGAAAGTTAAAGAGTCAGAAAACTTGTGTTAGCAAATATTTTGAAGAAAATTTATAATTTTTATGAAGTTATTCAAAAGAAAATTTTTAATATACACATTTTCACCTGCCAAGTGATAGTTCTTCCTTCTGTCTCTGTCAGCATTCTCCCTCATGCAGGTGCTGTTGCAGTAGAGGCTAACTGCATTGTGACCATGTTACAATATATGTAGCCATTTTTAAACTCATAATTTTCTGTCTATAATGGAACAGTTCACCTTTCTTAAAAGAACACTAATAAGTATACTCTACCACAGTCAATAATTTTGTGGACTGGCTGCAAAGCGTCGTTGCAGGTTGAGGCACGATATGATGCCCTGTTAGTTCATCTCTCATCACAGCAAGAGGCAGTTGTGTGCAAACTATGTAAGCAGAACTACGGCCTCTATTGTGAACTGCAGTTATGTGCGATTGGTTGAAATTGAAAATGTGGCAGTTTGAAGAACAGGTAAACATGAGATTCTGCCAAAAACTAGGCAAATCCCCTAGCGAAACATTTGGCATAGGAAGAATTGGCTGTTGCTACATGACAACACCCCTGCACATCGCTCTTTTCTTGTCCAAGAGAAACTGACAAGGCAACATGTCACCGTTTTGCCACACCCTCCATACTCACCTGATTTCGCACAATGCGATTTCTTTCTCTTTCACCGCGTGAAAGCAAAGCTAAATGGTCATAGATTTCAGTCAGCCGAGGAGGTCATCAATGCCACAAGAGAGGCCATACAGGAATATTCCACCAATATATTTCAACAGTGTTTTTGGCAGCTATATCAACGTTGGCAGACTTGCATAGCCGCCAATGGCAACTATTTTGATGGTCATTGTGGATCTATGTAAGTGTATGTGAATACCTTGTAATCATCATCATCATCAGTAATCTGTCAAGACGACAGGTCCACAGTCTCTTTCAAAACAATTCCTCCACTTAATGCGATCTAGAGCTTTCTCCTTCAAATGACAGTATCCTCTTCTGTCCCCAAGGTCATCCAGCATCTTCTTACGTCTTCTTCCTCGTCTTCTTGTCACTTCTATCCGCCCATCTATCTTTCCTTCGATAGCTTCTTTTAGAAGGCAGTTTCTGCGTAAAACATGACCAATCCAATTAGCCTTCCGTTTTCTTATTTCATGTAGGATATTCCTCTGCTCACTGACTCTAATTAACACTTCTTCATTTCTCACATAATCGGTCCAACTGATCTTCTCCATTCTTCTCCAACACCACATTTCGAAACTTTCCAGATGTTTCTGATCTACTGCCCTAAGTGTCCATGTTTCAGCCCCATACAGAGCTATGCTCCAAATGTAGCATTTCACTAGTTTCTTCCTCAAATTTAAGTCCAATTTGCTGGTAAAAAGATTCTTCTTCTTGCTAAATGCAGCTTTTGCCATGGCAATCCTGGATTTAATTTCACAAGTACACCTTCCATCATCTGTTAACAAGCTACCCAAATATTTAAAACATTTCACATTCTCCACTTGTTTTTGGTCTATCTTTATTGTGACTGGGGTTGGTTGTCTCGAAATTTTCATTACTTTTGTTTTCTCCACATTCATTTCCATGCCATAGCACCTTCCAATTTCAATTAGTCTATCAATCATGCCCTGTAGCACAGTTTCTTCCTTAGCCATTAACACAAGGTCATCTGCATATTTCACAGTTTGAATAATTTGCCCTCCTACTTTGAAGTCACCGAGCCCATCCAGAGCTTCCTTGGTAAGGCATTCGCTGTACAAGTTGAACAGAATTGGTGATAAACAGCATCCTTGTCGAACTCCTCTTCCAATCTGCACACTTCCTGTCTCCCCCCTGTCCAGTCGTACTCTAACTTTCTGATCCATGTACAATTTGCTAATCAATCTTCTTTCATGCCAATCGATACCTGTTTCTTTCAGGATCTGCATTAATTTGGTCCAGTTTACCCGGTCAAATGCCTTCTGCCAGTCTATGAAGCAAACACACAGTTCTTCATCTATCTCCAAAGTTCGTTCCGCTATAATTCTCATCATCCCAATTGCATCCCTGGTTCCTTTTCCTCTTCTAAATCCAAACTGATCTTCTCCAAGTACATCCTCTATTTTCCTTTCAATTCTTCTTTTAAGTATCTTTGCTATTATCTTTGCTGTATGTGCAATAAGACTTATTGTGCGATGGTCGCTGCATTTTGTAGCTTTTGTCTTTTTCTTTAAGGCAATCATTGTAACTTCTGTAAAGTCCTTGGGCCACTCTCCACTTTCATATATGGTGTTCATTAGTTTTGTCAGTGTTTTCAAACCACCTTCTCCCAGTAACTTGAGCACATCTCCAGGTACATCATCATCTCCTGTAGCCTTTCCCTTCCTCATTTCCTTGATAGCTTTTTCCACCTCACTTTGTAAAATATATGGTCCTTTCTCGTCTGTATCTACTTCTTCTTCCGGTTCAACTTCTAAGGTTTCTGGCCGATTAGGTCGATCATATAGTTCTGAAATATAATTTTCCCAAATTTTCAGCACTTTCCTCTGATCTACTATTCTATTCCCCTGGGAGTCTTCGATGCCAACATTTTGAATCCCATGATTCTCTTTCCATCCTAGTTCTTTTGTCTTCATGTACATCAAATCATAACGGCCTGTTCTAGGGTGGTGTTGTACCCTATTGAAAATAAGCATTTCACATTTCAAAGTGTAAAGCCACTGAACTGTACCTGAACCTTACATGGTTGTGACACCCATGACTTCAGTGTCAAATACAAATCTTCAGTCATATTAATGTCCTGCATATAATAGTCATGTAACAGTCCATTTCAGTGCTGGTTCTCTTAGTGATTTACATAGCAAAAATGTTAATTACCTTATATTACTCAGGGAAAATAAACGTGTTTCACCCTAACAAAAACTGGTATACCATTGTTTTTCCCTATTATTCAGCACCACTGTATGTACAAATGCATGCAGGACTTGGTATTTAAACTGTATTTCATAGCACAACCATAATAGTTTTATAATGACTATGGGTTGGATATATTGGATATATTCAGAACAGTTCTGGCCTATGCACCCTCTCAGTCAGTGGGTATGATGATCCATGCCATTGAGTTAAAGAGGCCAGAATATGAAGCTGATTGTTGCTGAGGATAATTATGCATTCAGCTCTACATCCGTTTCCAGCACACCTTTATGGCATGGAGCTGAGGTGTTTTTTACCGGTTCCTGCCAAGATGTTATAAGGAGGACAGTGTAGGTTAAATAACCTCTGGGGTTCATGAGCTGTTGCTGTGAGAAGCTGGTAGCTGAGGCAGGGAACAGTTCAGGAACCCAGAGAAAGGGGATCGTTTGCCATTGGAAGCCACTACCAAGCAATGGCAGTAAAGATCTGACTAGACACTAGAGAGGGAGAGAGAAAGAGAGTGTGTGTGTGTGCGCGTGTGTGTGTGTGTGGTAATGAACTGTAAAGGGTAATCATGAGCTTTATGAAAGAGTCCAATATCTCTGGTAACAACTGGTAACTACAACTAAGAATTATGCTGTCACTATTTTACACACTTCATGTTGATTTTTTTTGTCTTGTGCTTATATATTACTTAACAGCCGTATTGGATGAGAAGAACTTTATTATACTACAAAACAAAAACAAATAAATATAGATTACTATTACCAACTTGAACATTTTTACATTACTAGATTCTCAGCATTCCCTTTCAATTTTAAAATGTTACAAACACATTTTTCATTTGTTTTTTAATTTTAAAATTTTGTCACCATTATTAGCTGTTTTACAAAATTAAATTGAATAACACTTAGTAATTTTGGTTTCTAGATTACAAAATTAGTACATGTAATTAAACTTTTCTTATTAAAATGAGACTTTTTTTTAAGTATAGTATCTCTAAACTTGGTACATTTTTTTGGTGATAGCGATTTTGTTAAAATGTCTGCCACCTGAGTTTCAGTGTTACAATGTTTGATTGAGAACAGTTTCTTTTTCAATTGTTCACTTATGTAGTGATACCTAACGTCTATGCACTTACTCCTACGCATTACTTGTCCAGATTCTATTAGCTTGATTGCACTCTGATTGTTAACACACAGTTTAGCTTTTACTTTTTTTTTACTTTTTTATTAACGTTTTTAGATATTTTAATTTTTTACCACACTTAGCTGCTGCAATCTGGAATTGATTTTCGAATTTCAGCAAAATTTCCTCTATTTGTCTTTTATCCTCT